TCTGTGCCATAAGATATTTATTCAAGAATATAGCAGCAAGGCATGCCTGGGATGCTCCAAACCCTGGAGTCTCTGTCCTGGAATATCTTCTTGATAGCCCTATTTCATAGCACTGAATCTGAGAAAATGGCCTTATTTGAGGCTAAGGACCACACAGGTGTGCAGGTTTTTGCAAGAGCTTTGACTCTAAGAAACTATGAACAGCTATGATCCTGCAATCTTGCACAGGTTCTTCCATCCAGGATAAACAGCCTTGCAATCCTAACTGCAAGTTTGGTGAAAGTTTATTGGAGTTTCCAGATGTTCACATGAACATGTACCATGGCCAGGAACTGTGAGCATTGCAAACACTGAAACCACTGACTTCAGAGCATTCTGCAAAGCAGGTGTGATCACAATGACCTCTGGTAGTCTCTGTAAACAGAGGTTCCCAGAAGCCTGGACTTTAGGAAGAGTAGTTGAATCTAAGCTGTTTCCATAGAAAAAAAAAAAAAAAGCCACACAATCGAAGAGCAATCGGTTTTGCTAAAATATTTCTAACCACCTTTATCCCTTACTTCTGCTTTGTCCCTGAAGAAGCATAATTCATACTCTCAGCTTTTTCCCAGAATGTTTCATATTGCTTCTTCCATGTCAGCTACTTTTCTGGCCCAAAAAGCTTAAAAGAATGAGTAAATTTTTATATCCTGCCTAGCTAGGTGAGATCTCTAAGCTTTTACAACACTTTACATCCCACAAGCAGATCACTGAGTAATCAGAAAACAGGAAATTTTGAATTTTGTCTTGTATCTTCACATTGACACTCATGTGCTTGAGATGACAACCACAATGGTGAATGACAGGATAGAACTGCCAGGTCAGGTCCAAATCACACAAAATTAGAGGTGCATTGCTTGTGTTCTGTGTTTGAAGGAGAACAAACCCAAGTGTGAGAGATGTGACAGCTCATGCACTGAGTGCAAGGGACCTGGTCCTCTCAACTGCACAGTCTGTCCAGCCAGCATGCAGCTCTTCCTGGAGCAAAGCCGCTGCCTGCCCTGCTGCAGCAACACTGACCCAGCAAAAACCCCAGAGTGCTGTGACTGCAATGAAACACAAGGTAGGACCATGCTGAAAAGCAGCAATAGTGCTAAGCGTTTTATTGTTGATTATGCTGACATTATGCTGCCTGAAAACTGGACTAGAGCAAAAATGTGCTATTGATAAAGAGTGTGTTTCTACTGCTTCATCAAAAATAGGGAAAGTTTTACTCAAATAACAACCAGTATGTCTGGTGCTGGAGATGGAAACTTCTCACACTCTCAACTACTATGTTAAATGGCCTGGCATTTCATAGACTCACTGGTTTATGAATTAGCTTACTTCAATGAACAGACATCTGAATCTCATTGCATTTGTGTGCCTGCTAGCTTTTTGGCTTCTTTCTCATTATTTCAAATCAAATAATGAAGAATAGATATCCCAACAACCTTACTGACATCCTTGCAGCATAAGAAAACAAAAATATCATTGTGGTACCAGAAAAGCTAGGTGTTTTGTTGACTGCTATTACTGCACCAGACACATTGTACCAGACTTCTAAGACACACACAGACAAATGCAAGCTCATTTCACCCTTTTTTTGTTGTTCTTTTTTTTTTTAATTGCTGTTGTAGATGACTGTGTATTACAGAAAACGCTACCCCCCGGGCAAAAAAGCAAAACTCTTTTCTTTGTTATCACTTGCATTTTGCTTCTGCTTGTCATCGGAGCCATTGTATTCATCTGGAGAAAGGCACGAACCAAAACCCAGCCTGTCAATAAAGGACAATATGAGAAGCTGACAAATCACTCCAAAACCTTTCCTTCCTCTGTGAGCAACTACCACAAGAATCCCAGTTACAATGAGGATCAAGTGATTGAATACAGAGATAGAGATTATGAAGATGATGATGATGAAGATGACATTGTATACATGGGCAAGGATGGCACAATTTATCACAAATTTAAATATGGACTTTTGGAGGATGATGAGGAAGATGAGCTAGAATATGATGATGAAAGTTACTCATTCAGATAACTTTTTACTAGTTTACTAACAGTAAATTAGTCCTACTCTACTGTTTTTCCTGTGAAATTATAGCTATTTAATTAATAATGTTTCGTTACTTGATAGCATCCTGACCTCCGCATTTTTTGCTATTAATTATTGTTTAAGAATAATAATTTTTAGAAATATTTCTAGAAATTCCTTTTTTCTAAATAAATCTTTCCTAGGCTTTTAAGTAGCACTCCGGATATAAACTGGTTAAAGAGACCAAGTTTCTATGCATTTGTGTGGAGAATAATCCTTTCCCAATATGTATTTGTGTAACTAACACAAACTTTTCTTCAGACCTTTTTGGAGAACCCTGCCAATCACTACTAGAAATGTGATAAGCAAGACGGGTGTATCTACTTGATGAATGCCGCTGGGAGAGGGTGCCAGTAGTTCACTAATTTGTGATTAGAGTTACTTGACAATTCATAATAGAAGGGGCAACTTGAAGGAATTTACTTAGATTTTCTTCATAATCACCTGGTGTTCCCTGAAGCAAACATGCTCCACTTCATAATCTTTACAGCATACTTTCCTGTGAATTCATGTATCTATGACATGATATTTTAAGACTTAGGATTCTAACTAATTCTCATAACTATCTTATTCGCAGTTTGTAAGAAATAGAACAAAAATATTTTATATATCAGCCTCTGATTAATCTTTACTGCAGTGTTTGTCAAGAAATCTTGCATTTTACAGATGAATTTCTCAGTTTACAACAAAGGGCAGTATTGTCTGTAAGCATGGCACACACCAATTCTGCACCATGAGCAGGTGGTGCTTATATTGTAAATGGCTCAGGATGCTCAGACAATGGCAAAGGGGATATTTGCACTTTTCTGGTAATTTTTATTACTATTACAGAAATAAAAATTTATAATTCTAAAGAAAAGTATGGCCATTTGTTGTGAAAAATAAATTCTTTAGCCACCTTATATATGCTGTTATTCACTACATTTCACTAAATCTCAGAGTTTCTCTAGGCTTTCAGTAAGGATCTGCTCTAAAAACAGTAAGGGTATATATATAGGTTTACTGTTTACAAGGAATTGTGTAAAACCACCAGTTTTTCATGGCTCAATGTCTCAGTGGAATTTTCAGTATTACATAAGCCTAAAGACCTCAGGATAGTTCCATCTGTAAGATTAAAGATGTTTTATGGAGAGGTTTATTGCTTCCAATTTTAATTTTAACCTTCTAGTCATTGCACCTTCAGTAAGAGAGAGGAATTAAAGGTAATGTGACTTCACAAACGCTGAAACAAGTACCTATGTTTAGCAAAAGCTATAAAACAGCATGGTACTTCAGAAAGATACATGTTATCTTTCTCTTTAAAATCTAAAAAAAAACAGAAGAGGAAAAGAAGAGTGAAAAATCAGTCTGAAAGATGATACTGCTATCCTGGTTTTCTAAACTTGTTAAAATTAACAATATGCTTTATTCTTGTTGCTAATGGCTCATAACACAACTGTGAGGATGTGCTTTGACACACTTCCTCACATTTCAAAGGCTTATTCTTAGTTATGCCTGAGCAATCTGAAACCAGAATGATAATGTACATTTTTTTAATGGGCTCATATGTCATGAAATTATATTATTAAGAAAGGGCCAGATGACCCTGGAGGGGCAACAAATGACTGGAACCATGGTGCCATAGTCAGGACTTTGGTTACTCAGCCCTTTTGCCATGCCTTGGTTTCCTGGGTGCAATGGGGTCCATCTGACAAAGCAGGGAAAAAGCATCTTCGGTCAGAGACTTGCCACTTGGCACAGTGCCAGTGCCCCCATGAGAGGTGTATTCCCAAAAATGGTTACTGTGAGATGTGACCCAGGAACAGAACAAAGCAGGCTCTAACTCCTGAAGAGGGCTTTAAATTAGATTTGTTGGGGAAGGGTGTCTGTCCATCCCAATCCAGCCAGTCAAATATCAACACCTTTCATGGATGCCCAGAAGAGCATCAACATCTTCTATAAAACAAAATCACATTCAATATTTTTGAAAGAGTTAAATTTGAAAACGGTACTCAAGGAGACACAAATTTAAGAACCTGTATTCCTTTACAGTGTCTACAACTAGAAAACCCTGCCAAGAGTCTAAAAGAAGACCAAGAAAATAAAAGCACAACGAAATAATTCTAGTCTTGCTTCTAAAGAAACTTCATGGAAAACTGGTAGAACCAAGGAACGCAGTAAAAAAAATTAGAGAACACACAACAGAACACAAAGGAAATTCTGTTTTTCTGAATTATTTTGCCCCTTCTATTAATCTAAGTTCCTTACACTTTATCCTGAAATAAAGGCATCCAATTATTTTTTAAATATTTTCTAGACCTTTTTACCTATCATCACCATTTCCCAGCTCTGAGTTCCATTGTCATAAACTAATTTAATAAGTTCTGGTCTCCTGGAAAACACAAATCTTTCTAATTATTCCTCAAGACTAACAGATACTAAAACTTTTCTAAATACAACACTAGCAAGTGCAGCCTTCTGTTTTAATAATTTCTCTTTCATCTTTCTACTTCGTATTTTTGGAGGACAGCTATTCCATATTACAATCAGACTGCAAGCCATGTGACCCAGCAGAAGAATGATTTTACCTGGTCTCCTGAACAAAAACAAGCTCTGGTCTGTGAGCTGGCCCATTCCTGAGGTTTCCTGAATTTTCAAGAAGCCTGTCCGCATGCACTGGGCTTCTCTGGACAGTCTGTGGCACAAGACGTGGTTGCAAGGTTTTCTTCCTATTTGTTCCTCCATTTCAAAGACTATCACAAATGGCTGTTTTGTAAACCTAACATCAGTGAGTTCTCTTCAAGGCTCATCTCATCAAGCAGGAAAGCAATGTTCACAGAACTGGCAAAATACAATTTTTCTTACATTTTAAACATTCAATCATTTAAAAGTACATACACAAAACACATCCAGTTCACCATAATTTTATTTTACTCTGTTTTGGACAATATACTGTATTCTGTCCAGATCTCTGGAAAGTGAGAAAATTTCTTTATTCTTTTTTCTCTTGAACAAACTTTCATATGGATATAAATACTTCCTCTAATTATGCAGCCCATTTATTTTGTTTAAGTAATTTCAACTGTACCTGAACTCATTTTAATAAGAATTATAACGGCATGTGCTACAGGGTTTCAAGATTTTTTAACTGTGTGTGGGAAGTTGCTCATGAAATGAGTGTGGAGCCATCAGAAAATGTGTCTCATTTTTATGCTTATTTTTACTGGCTTACTGTTACTACTAAGCATTTAATAACAGATTTCAGAAAACATTTTATGTACGAAGTATAATGTCGTTGTGAACTGGTACTATAGCAGCAATGATGGTGACCAAGAATTAGCAAATCTAAGCACTGCTGTAATTACATATTCCCATAAATGGAAGAGTTTTTGCCTAAATCTTACCTTCTTCCAAAACTACTTTCTTTTGGTCAGGTCACTGGAAAAATGGGAAACAGTATTTTTCTGTTAACTCTTCCTGCAAGCTTCAATTGTGTCTCCTCTGTGTACATTTTAGGTTTCAATTCGCCACTCACTGATGGGCATTAAAGCATTTACTTGCAGGATCTAACTGCATTCAAGCAGTTTTTATTTTATGTTATGCAAATCACACTATCATTCTTCAGAGAACTGCTCTACTCATAGGTTTGGCAAGAAGGGTTTTTCTTTTTAATTTATGATGATGACCAGAGAGGAGCAAGAGATTAGCAGGCAGACCTTGAAAACGTAGGAAGTCAATCACATGTAACACAGGAATGCTGATATAGTTAAGTACTTGCATGAGCCATATCTATGCTCAGACCTGTACTGGTTACCAACTTTTTGATGAATGTCTATTCAATCTAGACTTATAATACACACAAGAAATCCCACTGCAACTGGTACTTTACTTCACTAAGTTTTATAATCCTTGCTTTTTCTTATAAATGGAAGTTATATTATAAATGGAGTTCCTATTGAGTTTGAATGCTTAATACTCTGTACTTTTGCAATCAGCTAAATATTACATACACACAATTAGTATTTGCACAATATCCTTTCTATATACACTTACACTTACAGAATAATAACATCTGAAACTCTAGTTTTGTTGTGCTGGCTAGTTACAAAAATGCTCTTGGCTTTCTGACATAAAGCAGTAACAGTTCAGTTATCTTTACTTTCAATAGGTTATATAAGAAAATAATTCTACCATTTGAAATACAGCATAATATTACAAATGCATAAAGTTTTTATATCCTCATTCATATGAAATCCAGGTTGTCTGTATCTACTTACCAAGCCACTTGTCAATTGCATTCTCATACTTTTTTTGGTCCTTTAACCAGTCTTGATGCCACCTAAGGTTTGCAATAACACTTGAGTAATTACGACCCAAACTTTGTTTCCAACTGATAAACTGTTTTTTGTTATACTCCTGAACAGAAGTAGAAACCTTTGGATAGTTTACTATAGAGCGAAGTATTTTGTCCAAAGAATGTACAGTTACTGGGAATTTTATGGCAAGATTTGTAAGCTCATCTGGATCAGCAGTAAGGTCTGTAAAGAAACAAAAAGTCAGTTAAGATTTAATTTGCACTGAAGTAAATTAACAAGTCAGTCAAGAAGCAGCATACCAAAGAGTTGGGGCAGTACTGAAGAGCCATCCGAGTATGTGATGTATTTCCACTTGCCAGTTCTCAGCATATACACAGAGGAATTCACATTGCATCCATGGAACTCACTCAGCACCCATGAGGGCCGAGGTCCTCTGGGTGACACTTCACTCTCAGCTTTTTCACGTAGCAGTGGTATAAGAGAATATCCACTGAGGTTCTGTGGAACAGGAATTCTTGCTATATCTAAGGAAAGATACAAAAAAACCAAAATGCTACTTCAGTTTTCAGTTTTAAAAAAGTCTAACACAATGCTACCAGTATCTGAATGTGGATAATAAAATGTGCTCTCCTAATTATTATCCCAAAATACACAATAAAAAATATCTCAAGGAACTTCCCAAGGCAAGCTGCCCAGCATCTTGATCAAATATATCACCTATGTATAACTTAACCTTTAACAGAAGTTTGTGAAAAGGGATCACAATAGTCTCCTTTGACAGATGGTGCTGTTTTATTCCTTAATCGTGGTTGCAAACGTTTCTCTTTTGCTCTGACTATATCAGGCAGAAGAAAAAGAATAACACAGCATGAAACGACCTTAAAGGCTCCACATCCAACATGTTGTAACTGTTTGTCTTGAACAATAACAGTGCTAAGCTCATCTGTAGCATTCTTCATTAGTGAATAATGAAATGCTTCATAAAAGGTGGCCATTATTATCACCTGTAACTGGTGGGGACACTTGAGGAGCAGGGCCACTTGCTTCTCTGGCAGGACTGGAGATAAAGATGATATTTGAAGTGGTGTCAACACAGTGCATGTACGGAAAACACCGGATGACTCCATAGCCTACCAGACAGCCACTAGAAGATGCTGTAATATCCATAAGCTCCTCAGCATCAACTTATACCAGGAGTTTCTCTAGCTTCCAAAAGATCAGGTTAAAAGACTGCAAAGGTTTTTCAGAAACATTCTGAAAAACATAGCTGAAAATCCCTAGCATGTCCAAAAACCACGTATGACAGTACTGCTATTTTTGCTATTTTTGATCACCCCACTAAACCATATTTATAGTAATTCAAAATTCAAAACTTTCCATTTCACAGAGCACCGTGGTAGTATTTAATCTATTTGGCATTGAGCGTTGATACTGAGTGCATATAAATTGCTCATAGGTGACTCTTTCCTTCATCAGCAGACATCTTCCTTTTTGCCCTCTGCCCAGCCAGCATCTGACAAAGTACTAAGAAGACCCATAACATGTACACCCAGTAAGCAGCTCCTGGTCATGCATGGGCAAAAAAATTTGAACAAATACATACTACATTCCAACAAATGAAAAAGAGATCTGGGCTCTTCTGTCATCCTAAACCAGTAACACTATTACTTCCAGTAACTGGATTCTCTATGTGCAAAGTATGTTCCAACCATTCAGCAGCTCCTGCTTTTCCAATAGTGAGCCAAAGGTATTTCCATACAGAAATAACAAAACAGCTAGTGCTGCCTGGAGATTATGCTACATCCTGTTACAAAAGGCAAGAGCTGTTGCAGTTCTGACTGTACACTCATATCACACAGGTTCTGCTGGAATCAAAACATTTGCACTTATTCTCAAAGCCAGTGCAGGAGGCAGTCTTGACTAAAGCATTTGGATGGCGTCTTAAGAGAGATTATTTTCCTGTGACAACACGAAGCAAAGCAATTAAATGTCACAAAAATAGACTTGAAATCTGTTTCCTCACTAGTCAGCAACAGCATGCAGACTGAGAACACAATACATAATAGAGATGGCTCTTCAGGTTTTCATTTTTGTCATACATGCCTTTTTGACATTCAGAGTACAGAGAAGGGGAACTGCCTGAACAGAAGGAATGAATTATGCACACAAAGTTCTGGGGGAAAAAAGCCCAAATGAAAAACCCCCCAGGAGGAAAAGACAGACGGATGTCAAACCATCTGACCAATTATGTCACTTGGGAAAAAGAGACAAAGAAATAAGAGATTTTTAACTCTTTACATAGGCTACCATAACTAGTATTAAATCCATATGTAGTATAAATATATATACATAACAATTCTGATATTAAAATTTGGAAGAGAAAGCCACTCAGATTTTATATCCTATTTTTCACTAGATAACTGGTTCAAAAGCTTTGAGAAGACACAAACAGATAAATAACTTCTGTTTACTTTTTAGAAAATCAACTTAATAGAGAAGTGGATTTTTCACTGACATTTACTGCTAAAAGTACAGTTTTATTCATTCATGTTCTCCAGGCAATTGTGGTGTACATGTGACACCTCTTAGAGAGCAAGCCTTCCAGACTGGTTTGAAAAGAACATTTCCTCTAATTGGAAGCCTAAAAAATCACAGATAAAGCCTCAAAAGATAACTTTACCTGATGTTTAATTGCAATCAGAATTGTCTCTTGCATGATTTATCACAGATAACTGTTCAAAAATTCCCTCTTAAAAGTGATTTCCATCTCAATAATTTTAGTTCTTTTTATTTTATTCTCTGTCCAATGTCGCCCTGATTTTGTAAGACTTTGTTAAACCTTCTGATGTTTACATTCTTTCAACAAACTTTCTCACACACAGTTCTGTAAATAACCTATGTTTTGCATTCTTTCATGGAAGTGGAGAGAATTGATGGACCCTTGGTCTGTCCAGTGGCATTGGAGAGGTGGCACTGTCACCCTCCAATCCACTGTCACCTTTGGAAAACTATAAATGTTGGAGTCAGAAAATAAAGCTCTTCTTTTTTGTTCCCCTCAAGAGCAGCAGTGTCTGTGTCATCATTTTGTGCCTTATCACAACAGTCCAATACTGAGGATTTTCAAATCTCATAAGGTAAGAATGTATATTCATTATCACATATTTTTACGTGTGCCCAGATAATTTTTACACTTCCTATACAAAGCTTTCATCACACTTCTTCCACATGGCCCTGCATAAAAGACATTCCTTTACTAAGTCAATGAACCTGTCCTCCTCCTTTCAAGTTTAATCTCATCTCTGGATACGTTTACACTGTAATTTCTACAGTAAACTGTGGGGTGTGAAGGTTAGCAAGGATTATTCATATCTAAAATGTGTTCATTCCCTTTTTTTACTAACAAATAACCCTATATATAATCAGTCAGTGTAATCATGTGGATGACAGTTACATAAGGAAGACAACAAGTTTCTTTATTTTATTTTTTCATCCATTTTTTACTTTTTCTGGTCCACAGATAAATTATCTCCTGTTCTGTTACTATATTCCCTCAAAGTTGAGACATCATTCTGACTATTATGATACAAATACAGAATAGTAATAGTAAAAGGAGAAAAAAAATTGTCACCTGAAATTATTTAACTCACCAAGCATAGTAGGATAGATATCCACAAGAGACACTACATTTGGTATTTGGTGCTGTTCTCTTAAACCTGGCCCCATAACTAAAAGAGGAACGTGGGAACTTCCCTCATACATGCTCATTTTATAGAACTGACGGTGTTCCATAGCAAGTTCTCCATGATCTGCAGTGAATATAACAATTGTTTTTCCAAGAAGCCCAGTATCTCGCAGAGCTGAAATAATCTCACCTGAAACAACAAAAAGATACTGAAAAGGATACATTCAAAATGCTTCTTCCAAGGTCTTTACCTGCAAAGCAGCATGTAAATTTCAAGGAACACTCCTAGTCCAGTGGAGGAAACTCCTCTTTTGTTGCACGTACATTGTGCAATGAAAACACAACATATACTCCTCTATTTTTGTATGTACATTTGTGCAACAAAGACAGGGCCAAGATCAATGAAGTTGGTAGTTAAGCAAAGCACTTAGGCATCTTAAATATTAAAACTTTAGGATGATTCATGCCTAAACATACTAGTTAAAAAATGTTATAAAATTACAACTGCAGTGCAGTTACTTTGCAGTCCGTTATTTCCTAAACCTGCAAGGTTTCCATTGATTTATCTTCATTCATAAAATGAGGAGGAGCAATTCTGTGTCTTTTAATTCACTTTACCAATCTAATATGCTGTCCTGGTTTAGGTCATATGCCTAAAAGATTAGCTTATTTGATCATGAATTTCATGTTAGTATGCAAACAAATTCTTGTACATTCATGGGCACTTTTCAAATGGAAAAATAAAATGCTGTAAATTAAGACCAACTTGCATTTTTATCTGTAGACTTTCCTGCAAACTCTGAAGAATTCTGAATGTGCAATTAATTATTTCTTCATAACTTTCAATAATGTGCTTCTAGGGGACATTCCAAATGTAACTTTATTCTTCAGTCCATGTGTAACAGCTGTTATCCAGTCTACACATTTGAAATCGGCCTCTAAGGAAAACGACTTATGCCCTAAAATTTATCTTTTCTTCCAGCTCAGCTTTTACAGTCAGTCCCCTTCCCAAAAATGTTTCCATTATTTCAGTTAGCACTTAATCAAAGAGATTTAGTTGCTCCTGTACATGGGTGTCCTGGGTACAGAGGAAAAGAAGGGTAGAGTTTCCAGCACTATTTAACAACATACCACCTATGTCAGGGAGGCGGCATGGTTTTCAGCAAGATATGCTAAGGGGTGTTGAAGTTGATTCAGTCTTACCTCGGTAGCAGAAACGTGTGAATTGTTCACTTAACTGTTGCTGAAATCGAGACTGTAACTGTTTCTGAAATCCTGATAAGCTGTAACTATTCCTGGAGCAGTGGGAAGATGAGACAAAACGCTGCTGCCACCACTGCTGCTAGTGCTTCTGCCACTGCTGCCACTGTCAGGGCAAACACTTACAGAGCCGGACCCTTTATCTGGCTTTATCTGGACCCTTTATCTCCAGGCTTTGTTCTGTCCCTGTTTTCCATTGTTTCCTTTCGGCTGGAAGGATAATAAATTGCAGAAACTTTTTTACCTCATTGCTTTAGTTTTCCTGAGCTGCATGTGGAGGGGATGGAGGTGACAGGTGTCATCTTGCCTTTGTCTGGGAAAACTACACTAGGTACTGTCTTTGGAGGGTGTTTTAGCTTTTTTTTGGTGAACACCCTTCCTCTGGGTGGAGCACTCTCTCCCTTTGTGTTTTCTTTTATCTGTATTGTTCTTTATTGTGAGTTTTTCAGTAAAATTGTTGTTCCCGCTTCTGGTCTCTCCTAGTACTTCCCATGCTGTCAAAAGGGGATGGGGGAGGAGGGGCAGCTTGCATGGGGTAATTTTCCCACTGGGTTTTAAACCAGTGCAATGGGTCATGCCATATTTTGCTGCAGTCACTGGTTTTCTACAGAGCTTCTGACTGCTGGCTGTGATTACTTTTCAGAGTGGTCTCAACTCACCTAAGAGGCTATCCTGTCATTTATCATACAGACTGAATAAGCAACTTCCACAACTTATTCCCAGATGTGAATTGTGGTGTTCTGTTTGCTATGTTTTATCTCCAAAGATCAGCCCTATCAGCATTTTCTTTAAAAAAAATCAGAACTAGAAAACCCACTGTGTAATAAGACATTACCTACCCAGCATGGCATCTGTCTCTGCACACATAGCATAATAAAATGCTCTAATATTTCTCACTTCTTCCTTTGTAAACTCTCCTGTGCAATTCTTGGTGTACGATGAGTAATAGTCTACTGGATGCATCTCTGAAAGAGAAGACCACTTGGGTATTTTAATAGCTTCATAATTTACCTAAAAAATATGCGGAAATTAACATTACTTTAGCAAGTGAATTAAACAAGATTTTTAACACAGATTTAATTTTAAAAATTATAGCATAAATTCACAGTTCTCAATTTGTGGTCCAGGAAACACTAGCTGCTTAATTGTTACACCATGCAGCTACCTCCTCCATAGTTCCTCACAGTTCCACAGGTAAATTGTTTTTTAAAAACCTATGAAAATCTAATAGAAACTAAGGCTAGGAACCACACTGCTGTACATTTTTAAGAGAGATATCACAGAACACTCTGCTAGAATAGGTACAGAATATTGGCATAGAGTCTTTGTAACTGTAGAATAACTATAAACCCATGGATCTAAAAGATTGGGCATTATGTAGGACTACAGAGCAACACAGAAAACCATGTAGTCTGGGAAAGCCTCCAAGACAGTGACGACAAGTCTTGGCATCTTGATAAGAAGAACTGACTACATTAATCCAATTTTCTAGTACTTTCTACATGTTTCTATATATGTCAATCCATTTAGTTATAAAGAAATGTAACATCAGTATGAAACCAAAAAGCCAATCTATTTGTGTATTCAAACTGTGCATAGTCACAGATATTGTCTGCTTCAGTACTAGCTTTAGAGTCTTGAAATTTGACATACACATTTAGCCTTGGCTGTCGTACTTGTAAATATACCCTTAAATAAAAGGGAACTTGAGGCGATTTCCTTTTGTACTTTCCCTTGTTACTTGGAGGAAAAGCTGGACAGCTAAACAAGTTGATAAACCTGCAAGAGTTCAAGCGCCCACAAAGTAAAACCTGGCTTTGTAACAGCCAAATAGACACAACAAAATGTAAGCTTCCTTAGGATCTATCGAAAACACACTGCTAGAAAAAAATCATTAAGATAAAATAATAATGCTTCAGTCATGTTATTACTGCTCAAGGTCCTTGGCTACATTTTGGAGTTACATTGTGGGCTTTGCAAATGGTATTTATTAGCTGCTTAAGATAAGAGTGCAAAAAGCGTCCCTCTCCATCCATGATTCTTTTCTACAGGACTTCAGCCCAGTTTTAAGTATTCACAAAGCCACAATCCCTTTGTCTATCTATGGTAATGTGCTGGGTAACCCAAAATGTTACTGTATCCCACATCTATCTGTGCCGTAAGATTATTACTGTGCCTTTAAGACCCCAAGCATGGCCGGAACCAGAACTGCAGGGCAGCCTGGGGAAGCCAGTAACGGGACCACCGGTAAAAGGTCAGGAAACCCAGACTGACTTCCTCTTCTGCTGAAGGAGAAGACTCCGCTTCAGAGGGGGCTGATATGGGCAAGTTTCTGGGCTTCCAACTGTAGCAACTCGGAAAAACTGCATTTAGCAAACAGAAACTGTATTCCCAGTGATCTTTGCAAACTCTATAGGCAGCGAAGCTCTATCAGGGGATTGGGCCACTCCTAATCAGTGTCCAGAGACCAGTTTTCCCTGCTCCCTTCTCCAACATACCAGCAGATCAGAAGGCACCAGCACCAACACTGGTGGAATCCGGCCGGTGCAATAGGAAGCAGAGAACAGCAGTGCTACTCCCATATGTGCCAGAACTTCCCATCTGCCAGTAGACCTTTGCAAGCTTCAACCTTCCCAGGAGAGTTTGCTGCCATCCGCTCCCTTTGTTTCTTGGAGTGCATGGTCACTTGTGGCAAGTGCCACCTTGGAAAGAGCCTGACACCACTTTCTCTTTGCCCCCTGCAGGCAGTCAGCAGTGGGGCGCTGTCACAGATTAGAAGGATCCCACCAGTTTGGGGTCTCTTTGTTCCTGTGGAGCTCCTGCGCTTCAGCAAGTTTGTACCTAGTGATTATTCACTGCTATTTTCTGCATGTTGCTGTTTCACTTGTTAGAAAACTTATTTTTTCACTTTATCTATTGGTATTGGTTCCTTATTGGTACTTATTGGAAAGGGATTGGTTGAAACTAAGGGGAGGAACTCATTTTAGAATTATGACCTCTTTGAATTGTCTTAAACCAAGACATGTAATTCACAACTAGGAAAGAAGCCACACGCCCTGAAAAAAGGACAGCTTGTGCAAAATACAGGGGACCATCTGGTTAACAACACAGTGTTTCACAAACGTACCACGTTGACACTCTGTTCTGTATTACAGCCCAAATAAACAGGACATTTTATTCAGTTCTTCATCTATGCAACCAAACTTCTTTATGAGATTACCTCTGTACTTTTAAAAGACTGTTTCTTCCATGACCAAAAAAGAGCTACATTGCAGAAGAACCAGCCAATGGTCAGTAAATGGTAATATGTGGCCCACACAATGCAGTATGTATACACAGTAGTGGGAAGGAGCCCAGCACTGTGTAGTTAAGTTACTCTGACTGGATAAAAGACGACAAAAATTTGTCAAAGATGTTATAACTGTCTGTGACTCACAAAAAAGTACCTATGATTCCCAAGATACATCTAACCTAGCAATCAGCACCCAGCAAGTTTTCCTTAATAACTAAGCTAGATCTTGCTTTTTGCAATTGAAAGGGGTTTTTTTACCCAAATTCTTCCTCTCCCCACAAACTTCTCACCATTCCCAGAAGAACTCACAACCCTCACCATTATGAAAAAAATGCACATCTCTCAACCTTCATTTGTAAATACTTTTTTCCTAAGTATCTGTATTTTTGGTACACCTTGATAAAGAGGTTTAGCAGCTCTGTTATAGGAAAGGCCAAAAGTTACATAAATTGCACTGGAGGAGTTTTTTGAAGTATAAAGTCTTATCAACGTAATTCTAATTCTGCAGCTGCAGAGAATATTAATGCATTTCTGCAATTAAATCTATTGTAGTACATTTATATTTTATGGCAGTTAATGGCAACTGAAAATTATACAAGACTGAAAAGAAAGTATTTCTTCTTTGGAATGGAGTGCTATATCTTAGTTTTACACGTACATAAGGACACTATCTTGCACTTGAAAACCTACAGTAGCAAAGAAAAAGTTAACAGAAAAGGAAGACTTCTGTTGTGTCTTATGTTGCTTTAGGTTCTAGGTCCATACTGCAGAAAAACTCAACCTTTCACTGCAGAACTCAGACAAAATTATTACACATAGCATCATTTCTAACAAGCAAAATACAGAATGTTCACAACAATGAGCTTCAGACCCTTACCAAAATTAATTTACAGCTAAGAAGAGCAACAATCTCATTTTCCTTAATGTGTTTCTAGCCATTGAACTCCATACTTACTTATTGATTCAATGACTACTGCCAACAAACCATTTCCCACAACAGAGACAAATTTGTCACTTCTATTTTCTTAGCCTTTAATCAGAAATCTAACATCTCATTCAAGTACTTTCTTACTGTGTAGTGAAATATCAAAACTGGGTGTATCTTGAAAAATCAGGAATAAAATAGTTTGTAATAAGTACAATTATTAATAAATTAATATTTAAATTTTATATTCACATACCTTTTCAAGCCAATAGGGAGATGTTAAAAATGTAGAGGATCCAAAATTTTCTCCTGCATAGGGTGATGGATACGGGTGTGGTAAATTTAGTCCCAAGTAAAGAATGAATGGTTGAGTAAAGTTAACAGCTTCTTCCTTTATCCAATTTACTGCTTTATCAGTGTTCCGCCAATCTGTTTCCATTACTCTAAACTGCTTCCTATGGCCTGTAATTTTCACCATGGGTCTTCCTTCTTGTCGGAGCAGGAAGTTAACATCCCTAGTCCAAGCTTCCACACGGTTACTGAAAATACATACAAAAGTCACATACTCAACAGAAAATGTTTTCTTCACTTTTCCTCCAAGCAAAAAGCATTATGAATTCCTGAAGAACTTCCCCTATACTTTCAGTTGCAATCTATTTCCAATTCCTGCATAAAGGAGAATTGTTATTCAATTGAGCAATAATGATTGTGCATTTTATACTCAGACCTTCAGCCTTTTTATGTCTGCTTCTGAATCTTCTTTCTTATTTATTACCCATTTATGTCAGAATGGCTCTTCTCACACTTACAAAATAATACCTAGAAATACGACTCCATCTTGTGGACCCTTCTCCACGTTTCGGCACATATTCACACACTATTTATTTGTAAACTGAGATTTTTATGTGAAAGAATCTAGTGGGAAATAACGTTACTTGTGAGGCTGCCTTTAGAAACAACATCCTGGATACGGCTTGTACTATTAATTAAACATACTTTAGACAAAAATCTGTAAGAATTATTTCTCTTGTATAAATCCTATCAAACAAATAACAGAAAAGAGTGTAAAGAAAGCAAGAAGGAGGGAAAACTGGCAACATTTTAATAATAAAATATTTTTTAAACAGATTTTCTAATGTCATGGAATTGTTGTGTCTCTAAAACACTGAGCTGCAAATGTCCTTGTTTCTTTGCTAGAGTGAATGATGGTGGACATTGGTAAGAGGCAGACTATCTAAGACCTTGACTAATCTTCATCTTGTTGCTCATGGCAATTTCAATACAACCAAGCAAATTATAAAGAAAAGTATAAAACTGCTCAAAGTTTGATCACATGCTTTTATCAAAACACAACATTATTATTGTTTAAAGAGCATCTAACTGGTTTTGTCCCCAAAGTGGATTTTATCAGTGCACTTTAACTTCCAGAAAAACTATCTGTAACAATTTTTTTATTGTTTTAACTTCTTGTTTAGGCTCATAATTTCAGCATAAACAGGCTTAAATAAATTACTTAGAACAAATTAACGTATCTGGTTTACAGAGAAAGCATGTTTCATAAACATTAAAATGAAATTATGATAAAGAAGTGTGTGGGTGTGTCTAATTGCACCCAATGTTATAATACTGATTTATACAGAAAAAAATACTACGTAGGCCATAGGCCAGTCGATTATCCAGTCAGACTGAGATTAGGATCAAGTTTAAAGAACAAAAACCCCTCATAACTAGAAAGGAAGCATTAAATGACTCTAACCTTTTTATTATTAAAGAAAAAGCTTCTCTTTATTATTATTTCAACAACGACATAATTATTAATCAGTGATATGGAGCATGTTCATAAAAACAACACAGAATGAAGATTCCCCAGCAGCCCATGGAGAAGATTCCTGCAATCCATGGAACAGATATCCACTTGCAGCCTATGGAGTACCCCACATCAAAACAAATGGGTATCCAAAAAAGGCTGTGATCCTGTGGAAAGCCTGCCCTGCACTTCCAGCAGGACCTGCATAGACAGGAATCCATGTTGGAGCAGGTTTACTGGTAGGACTTGTGACTCCCTGGGGAAACCCACACTGGAGCAGTTTGTTCCTGAAGGAGCACATCCTGTGGAAGGAACCCACGGTGGAGCACTTTGTAAAGAACATAAGCCCATGGGAAGGACTCAGTTTGGAGAAATCAGTGGGGAACTGTCCTTTTAGTGCGGGAGGGACCCCATACTGAAGCAGAAGAAGTGAGGAGATGTCCTGATGAAGAATGAGTGGCAGAGACAATGTGTGGTGAACTGACCACAGTCCCCATTCCCAAACCACTGTGAGTAGACGTGACAGAGAATTTGGAAGTTAAGCCTGAATAGAAGGGTGGTGGAAAAGTGTTTTAAGATTTGGGTTTACTTCTCATTCCCTTACTCTGGCTTCTTATTAGCAATAAATGAAATTAATTTTCCTAAATTAAGTCTGTTTTGCTGTGTACCTGAGTGATCTCTCTCTGTCCTTATCTTCACCATTAAGTCATTGTTATTTCCCCTGCCTGCTCAGTGGAGGAGGTGGAGTCACAAAACAGCTCGTTCTATCATGGTGGCCCTGGTGTGTCCATTCAGGGTCAACCCACCACAACAGCACAAGTCTTTGAACACTTACAGTCTTCAAAAAACCTCTCAAAACCTCTGACATTTTGTGAGAGTAGGCTTAATATTTAATTATTATGCATATGGGGTTTTGTTCTGCTTTTCCTACACTGTTCGTATTACCAGGAAGTCAGGAAGTCTTAAGGCAAGGCAAAAGCAGTTTATGAATTTCACTTAAGGAGAAATAATACCAGTGGTAGAAAATAACGGTTCATGTTGAACAAAACCAGTTTCTGTATTACATTTCAACTACAGGTAAAAGCCAAAGTACAGAGACATGTACTTTGGCTTTTACCTGTACAGAGTAAGTACAAAGTACAGAAGCAAGAGATATGCTTGCTTCTCCATAAAGTTGCAGGACAGATCTCTGCTAGGTACCTAACACAATTTGTTTCAAGTTAAAGCCACTATCATTTCAACTGGAGACTGAAACAATGTGACAGCACACTACATGATTTCTTCACTGCTGCCCATTTCACAGCAGGAGAATCTACCTGATTACCTTACTGAATGATGTCCAGAAGTAAAGTCCAATTTCCCAATCTTCTGTGTATGGTAGCCGTGCTTCTCCATGAGATCCATCCATGTTACATAATCTGGATCTAGACCTTTGAAGTTATTCCAAGATTTTGTTATATGAGTGAAAAGACCACTCCACATAGCTGGCGAGAAAAAAAATTATGAGTGATTAGTACTCCCCACCTATAAGGTTGGGAAGGGATTAATCTTATCATTATTACATAGATATAAAGTCCAAACTGCAATACAATAGAACAAGGAATACAAAGTATTACTCTTCCAAATCTTACTTCATTATCAAGACAAGTATCAAAATTTATTCAAATAATCCCCAGAATTGCAGAAGAAGGTCCTATCTTTCCAGGTGTTATGCAATCGTTAAATCAAGTTCTAATTAGATGAGAAAATATTCTTCTTGATTTCTGAAAGAAAATGGCATGGTAGTACAGATCCTGATGAAACAATCCTGTATTTACACTTTTCAGAGTATTAGTTACCCTTACTACAGTTAGATTTAACGTGAGTTTAAAGTTAAGTATATTTGTGGAGAGAATTACAATATAGTATTCGTATAAATACAACATGCCCTCAATTTTATTCTTTTTGGGTAATCTACTTCACTACCAGTTTCAGAAACAAAGTGAGAATATTAAAGAAGATGCCACGAAGAAAGGAAACCAAGGCAAGTGTTGCAAAGGAATTGTAAGGGGAGATTTTTAAAGTGAATTCCTATTTCTTTGCAGCTTATCAAGAATCATTTGCTTTTTCCAGTGCTAATTTAGAGTTAAAGGTAGTCTCAGAACAGAACTAAGTCATTTCACAAGCAATAGAAATATCCTGTAAGCAAAGTACATCAACCCACATGGCAATACTGGTCCTTTCCCCACTCCAAAGCCCTCTTTCCCACTATCTCTTCTGGTATCATCCCTGACACCTTCACAATAGATGCACCCTCAGTTCCTTGCAGGTATCCAAGCTCCTGGCAAAGCAAAAGATATTCTGCTGGTTCAGAGCCCTACATATGAGCTCAGTAGTCACAGCTACCTATAACACTACACGTAACTGATAAATCATTTAATTCATTATGCACTTTCTTTCCCACAGGAGTACTAATGTGCCACTTTCAAAAGCTTCCTAAACTTAAATAACATAAAGTATTGTTCTTAGCAATAAAAATTGGCTGAAAGACTCAAGCATCAAGAAAAGGAAAGAAAGTCCAACTGTTTGTTCATGTAACATCACCCACTTAAAATGTGACCATGAGAAAAAGAAATGGGAACTAGGTAACCAATAAAGAGAATATTAAAAATGTAACACTGTATTTGACTTCCTCTGTCTGCAGCTTCTTTCAGTGTATGCTTTGAGAGGAAGGGGGACTTTTCTATAGGTACAGATTAAGGAGGGCCTTTGCAACAAAAAGGTAGAAATGTTTTAAGATGTAATCTTTGATTGAGGAATATAGTCTCCTTCCATCTTCCTAGCAAATTCTGCAAGTGTGAAATTAAACACAGAACAAAATCGCATTAAGTAAAGAAAAACATGGAAGTATTCAATTAAAGCTACTGAAAGATGCATCATGTACCTAGAAGACAGTGGCAACTACCACTTTATTCAGCTATTACTATTTATAACTCTTTGCTGAATAGAGGAAAGATTTATTAACTTTGTATTGGGAAGAGAAAGTAATTCTGAGTGTAGGTTCAGCACTGCAGCAGAAAAAATCAATGATTTCTCTACAAATCCTGAAGGTTTTTTAAAAATCTGAAGTTTCAATGGAGTTTGTAAAAAGATTTGGGAGCTTACACTTAACTGAAAAAAGGAGAAACAAAAAAATAAAGGAGGAAACATAAGAAACAGAAGAGATAAACAGATGCAACAGAATACCATAAGAATTCAAACACAAACTAACAAAAAAAAAAAAAAAAAAAAAAGGATCTTATTAAAAATAAAACAAATCCCTCCCCATTAAATAATTTCAGATTTCCCATTATTACCACACGTTTAAATTGACATGTGCAAGTATTTATCTGGTGCTTTGCGTGGTTCTACCTGCACGGGAAGGACAACAAATTGGAGAATTGGTGTAGGCATTGAGAAAGACAGTGCCATGTCTTTTCATAAAATTTATGGAAGGTAAATCCACAGTCTGATTTCCTGGCAAAAACGTCAAGCGTCCATCCTGCAATGAGACAAAAGCAACACGTAAACAGCATTAATGCAAACTATCAGCAGAATTAATTCATATATTTGTTACCATGGACTGGTGTTGCTCAAGTGCTGCCAATTCTAAGCAGGTTTGGAAAACAGTGTTGAGAAGCTCTAAGTAGAACAATATAAAATGGATCTTTTGAAAAAGTGCAATGGAAAAGATAACTGGGCTTCTTTATAGTAAAATTAATTCCACTGTATCACTATACATATTCCAAGCTCCAGTTCTTCAGAGGTGGGTCCTACCATGACACATTCAATGGGAATAGGCACAGTGAAAGGTAAAAAGGAGTAAATGCCACATCTACATTGGGATTCAGCCTAGTACATATTTCGGTGAAACCATCATTGATTCCTCATCCTTTCTAAAGGTTTATCCATACCACTTCTCTGTGAACTTATTTAAAACTATGGACTGGAAAAGGGATCAGAAAGCTAAAGAAATGCTATTCTCCCACAGAAATCCCACCCACAATGGTTCCCTTTTGATACTTCCATAATGCTAATTTTGATGCTTTCATAATGCTTATTTCACTTTAATAACCTATTTGTTTCAACAGATTTTTCAATCAGTAACTTAAAAAAGGTTAAACATTTTGAATAGGTAATTTTACAGTAAAAGATTATCATCACATGAAACCAGGTTTCATGCAGAGTGCCATATTTCACGTCATTCTGTTTTATCTGTCACTTTTATTCCTTTCCTTGGTTGAACAAGATGTGCCAACACAGCCCCAGCCTGACTGGCTCTTCAGTGAACAGACAGGCGACAGTGCATCTGCAGTTTTAACTGCCGAAAAAAGTAATTCCTAGCATTCGGTTTCCAGCAGAAATACTCTTGGATAACCCTGCATTGTAGACACTCACTTCATTTGGCACCAGTAGAGCTAACTTCAGCACCCCAGACTCTGAACTCAGCTCACACCAGAACATGCTAAATGAGCAATCACCTAATCTTGTACTATTACAAATGGCCATCTTGAGCAAACACTCAGTAGTTTATAAATAAAGCTGTAACACACAATAAGAACTTGAACAAAACTTTGGGCTGAAAGTGCTCTTTAGAAAGTTACCCTGGTTGCAGCCAGGATAGGGTTCATTTTTGCAGTAGCCAGGAGGGGACAAGGTAAGACAAGGTTACCTTACCTTACCACAAGGTTATTGTGGACCATCTCATGTGATTTTTCAGCAACAGGGGAAGGGGTCCCTTCCAGTAGTGTGGCAGCCAAGAGGTACTGTCGGGCTCTGCATAGTAGAGTGGTGAGCATTCAAATGTGAATTGCTCACCCCTCTTGTACATTTTTGTTACTAATTTTATTGCTGTTACTGTTCTAGTAAACTGTTCTAGTTTTGCTGTTTCTAGTAAATCGTTCTTACCCCATCCATGATCTTTATCTTTTGTGTCTCCAATCTCTGCTCTAGCCTGCCGCAGAGGAACAGGAGGGGGACAGAGAAGCGCGCAAGTGGCATATGGTTTGGAGTGATTTCAGTGAGAACAGTAAATTGGAGAATACTATTCCCAAACCATGACAAAAGTACTCAACTGCCGTGCAGTCCTGTCAACAACACACTCTTAAGTTTCTCCAACAAAGTCTTGTTTGAACAGCTGGAGACAAGAGTTCCTTACATTAATACAGTGATACCATATTCAATGACACAGCAGCAAAATAACTCCATATTCTTGGTGTCACTGTACGCTTGGGGTACTGTGACATGATTATTGTTTCTACAGATGAAAGGGTATTCAGTGAAAGTAGTAAGCGTCTTGAATTGGCTAAGCAGGTGGAAGCTCAATAGCTATTTTGGGAAATCTATCCCCTAAGAACTGCGTAGGATTTCTAGGTTTTGAAATACCTAAGGAAATAAAATTACTTTAACACAAACAAGCACCTTTCGTCCAGAAACTTGAGCTGCATTGCAAGCAAAGCCTGTCATCCATCACACAGTGAATTTCAAGTAGCAATTCAGGAGCTGAATTGCCTACTAGCACATTTCAGCAGGAAACCCTTGGAATAGCACAATGCCTGGTGTGACACAGCAGTAGAAAGCTAGCTATTCAAGCAAGAGGTCACTGCTCTGCACGCCAAACACAATCCAGCATCACTGTGAAGAAAATTCTTGTCCCACTTGGCAAAATAGCTGTGATTCCTGCACAGGCAGTGTCACCCACAAAAAAGGCAGGCTTGCTTTCTAATAAAAGCCCAGACCTTTTAACAGCCTGCAGGACTTAAGCTTTTTTCCAGAAAAACTGTTAAGTTTCAACAGTACCCCATCCTTCCTATTCTCTACTAGTGATGTTATCAAAATGGTTCATCTATTTCTACCTTCAAATCCATCTCAGAAGAAAAGCTTACACAACACATTTTTCTTACTATACTCTGTATGCACTATGCAAAGATGACACTTTTCAAAACAGCACCTTGTTGTTTCCCTAAGAATTCCACAAAAATTGTGGGATTTATATTTTTCTTTTTTAAGGGTTACCTCATCAATCACTGTAATATGGTCTACAAGAATCTTCCTGCTTAAAGGAGACATATAAAAGTTCACCTAAGGTTTGTCTGCAGCCTCTGCTAGCATCTGGATATAAAATGGACCTTGACTAACCCTCAGGATCTTAAATACTGTCATTTTAACTATTGGTAAACAGACTTCTAGTAAAAGCTGAAAATTTGGAGAGAAAAATATGCATTATTTTGGAATATTAAGAAAGACTACTGAAAATAAAATTAACAGAGAATAGAGTCAAAGGAAGGAAAGTCAATAAGGAGCTATCACATAAATAAAGAGGGAGTTATTTCTTTATCTTTGAAATCACAATGAATGCATTTAAAGATAGGGTTTGAAAAAAAGATAATACATGTTTACCAAATATTTAGGAAAAAGTAATCTCAAGAAAAACAGGCAGCAGGCAAGAAGCCAACTGCTTTTATCTGTGCAGTCAAGGAGGGAAGCCCAAGAAGGCCAGGGATCAAACTTCTGCAATAGTGGAAGAGAAGTGATGAAATGTGAAAGCACCTGGAGCTTAACACCATGGAGCTTATGTTTGATTCCACAACAAGGAGTGTTCAGGTGTGTCAGAGAAACCAAGGCTCCTCAGAGTAAAGCACATCAAACATTTCTAGTGTGCTGGTGGGCACAGTGAGAAAACTGTGAAGATACATGCAAGGATTAATATTTTTGAGTGGAAAAACTTCTGTGTCTGAAGGCTAAACCAAATATATTAATAAATCACTGTAATGGAGCCTCTAGATGCTTACTGCTATAGATACACGTCTGACAAGTTTACTGTGTTGTTATACCTACAAGAGCCTCAATGATCCAGCACTTGGTGCTCAGTAAGTCAGTAATTTCACCCGTGATTCTAGAAATCGCTATCCCCTTTGTTGTGGAGACTTAACATTCATAGGATTTACAATGGGAAGGGTAACAGGGTTTAGCGACCTTGCTTGCCATCAGGCTTTTCAAACGAACCGAAGAGCATTCACTTTACACACCAGCCCCGTTCCAGGGGCGGCTGCCCTGCCACAGAGTCCTGGTGGCACGCCCCGCTCCCGGGCGACAAGCTGTATCACACCAGACCGTGGGAGCCACCTTGTGCAGAGGTTTTCGGCTGCTGTGAAGCCTCTGATGCGAGCAAGGCGCACCCTTCTGGGAAGCGGGCCGCATTTGGCTCGGAACATTGAGGGTGCGAGTGTCCCGCCGCATGGCGGGCCCGCTGCTGCCGCTGCCGCTGCTCCTGCTGCAGCCCCTGCTCAGCTCCGGCGCCCCGCGCACTAACCTCCCGTTTGCCTCCTTGCCTCTGGCCTAGGTAATCCATCCAACAGGGCCGCGGTGTCTGGTGCTCTGTAGTTCCATCCAGGCCACCGCCGAGGATTTCTCTCCCCCACCCTACCTTGTCAGCGTGCCCTTCCACGCCCCGATCACTCACCAAGGAGTCGCAGGCCACCAACACCACATTAGATCGGGGCTGGGCCCCGGGGGTGGCGGGCCGCGGCCTTGTTCCCGCCCCGGGGGCCATGAGGAGCAGCGCCAGACCGGCTAGCCCCAGCGGCCCTCTGTCTCGCATCGCCCCGCCACCGTGGCCTCCAACTCTAACCAAGGAGCAGCAGCTCCCAAAGCAGATTCCGGGGCTCCGACCACAGCGTAAGATTAGACCCCACCTCACGCTACCCGCTCACTGTGGCCTACAACTCCCACGGTGCCCAGGGCGCCGGCCTGCCCCGGGAAATGGGAACTACATCTCCCGCAGTGCCCCAAGAGAAAATGGCGGCTGCCCTGCCGCGTCACTGCCCCCGTCGCAGTGCGCATGAGCCGGGTGGCGGCTGAGGTGGCGGGCGCGGCGGTGGCTGCAGGTGGGGCGGTGGCGGCGGCGGGGGCGGGGGTGGGTGGCGACGCGCCGTGGTGCCCTGGCTCGGTCCGCTGCGGCTTTCCCTGGGTGGGCTGCGGGCGTGGATTGCCTCCCTAGGCGGTTCGCGGCGCGGACCCCATCCGCGGGCCCTGGACCCCACCCGCAGGCCAGCCGGGCTGGATAGCCTCGCTCTGGGGTCGGCCGCCTCCCCGGTGCCCAGGTTTGAGCCGCAGTGGTATTTTGCCTGTAGGTGACTGTGCATTTCATGCTGGACAGTGCCCGCGGTGGGCTGCGTTTATGATGGCCGAAGAAGCTGTTCCCTCGTAGGAAGCAAATTTATCTCCAGGACCTGCTGAGCAATGCAAGTCCGACAGATTTCTTTATAGGTTGAGGGAATCTTTGAAATTCGATGGCGTCCTGTGTCCACCCATTCCTTTGCAGCTCCTAAAAAGTTTTTTTTTGTTCTTCAGCTGATTTCTTTTTTCATCTTTTTGGGTGCTGGCAGCAGCAGTGTTGTTCCTCAGTCTCATCCTAGCTTGACAGCTTTGACTGTGGTGTTTCTAAAGTTCATTCCGGTGTACAACATACACCAAAACATTGCAAGATTGTGTTAAAAAGCGTGAATGCCTGTTTGCTGTGTTCTTAAATGCTTTTTCTTTTTGATTGATGGCAGTAGTCAGAAGCAGAATCTGCTGTAAGCATGTGTGAAGGGAGAGGAGCAGGGTCGGCCACACCGCGGTGTGGCAGATAGCCATGGTGCTGCTGTAGAAAGCACACAAGAAAAACCTCGATTCTTAGCAGCCACTGCAACACGTTTCTCGGGCAATAGGGTTCTTAAGCACGGTTCACTGCTTAGTTTCTTTTTAAAGAGGAGCTGCTATGTGTAGGGTGTTTTCTCCTAAGTGTGACTACAGGCTCTTAGAACACCTCTTCCTTAAATTTATCTTAACCTGTAAAAAAAGTTTCATTCTTGGATAGCTACTTTGTATCATTTAACTCTTTGCAATAATGACTGTATCCTGCATTGGAGCTAAATGTGAGTAGTTTCAACCGTGCCATCTTTTTCATCAGTTTCTGGTGCTGTATGCATTTTGGCATACTGCACTATATCTCTCTGTTTAAATAAAGGTATCTCTCTGTGCAATAAAGGTATTAACATTTTATATGTGTCAGAATATCTGTTTTTACAAGAACTGATGACACGTCCTTTGTATTTAGCAGCCACAATGTCAAATAAGGAGGTGAAGGCAGCATTGAAGAGTGCTAGAGATGCAATAAGAAATAAACAGTATAAGGAGGCCTTAAAACATTGCAAGGTAATTAAATTTATACTTGGAAGGTAAGTTTGAAGCTTTTTGCACATTTTGTTCTTTTTCTGATACCTCTACAGCTGTATAATTAATAGTGCAGAGTGTAGAGTACCTTATTGATGTGATAGTTGAGGTGGATTTTCAGATTTAACTTAATTGATTATTTGTGTTAGTTTCCCACATGTAAACTTTTATTCCCTTTCCTTTTGAATTTGCTTATTTGTGGTGATAAGAGTATTAAGTCTAGAGTGATAGAGATAAAAATCTATTTCTAATCCAGACCTCCTTGGAGAGCTTTAAGTGCTGAGCTGCAGATACAGGTTACTAGCTCAACACTTCAGGTATGAGCATCTTCTTGTATAAGAAACTGAAGTTACTAATCTCAGCATCTTCCTTAAAATTACTTCACTCGTAATATTGGCATATAAAATAATTCACCAAAGTGTAGTGATAAAACTCAGTACATGGATCTATGAGTTACATTTCTTTAATCAGTTTTACTCTAAAATTGTTTATTTTTAGGCAGTCTTGAAGCAAGAAAAAAATAACTACAATGCTTGGGTATTCATTGGCCTGGCAGCTGCTGAGTTAGAGCAGCCTGATCAGGCCAAAGGAGCATACAAGAAGGCTATTGAACTTGAACCAGACCAACTACTGGCATGGCAGGTATGTGAATATCCACTTTTTGTTTCCCTCAAAAGTATCACTATGGAGTTAAATATAGGAATAAAGCAGAGTTAAGACCTGTTATCTTGTTTTCTTGAGGCCCTTAAGTTCCACAGAAGCTTTGGAGTAGATGGTGTTCCTATTAGTTGTGTGTCCAATGTAAAATCATGGTGAACTTTATTTTCAGTATATTTGAGTTTGTATTTCTTGTGAGGCTTACACAGCTGTGAGACATGCAAGGGAGAACACGAATTGAAACAAATACAGTAAATTTGTCCACGTAAAAATTACTATGCTTGTAACACAAGAAACACTTGACAGTTCTTCTCTTACGGAGAGAAAATGTTGTATGTAGTAATGTATTTTTTTCAGCTTTCAGCATCAAGTGGATTGTTAATTAATGTTGTTACCTGAAAGCAAAAGTGTACATTTAAAATAGCTGTGTGGTGTGTGCATTAGAGCCTATTGCAATACGAATTTACGACCTACAGTTTTGTTATGTATTGATTCATGAAACATAAGGTTTCATATTAAGTTTGTTGCTGATATCAACAGTCAATGTTTTTCTAAGATAATGAGGTTCTTAGTATTTTCAGTATAAAAGCTATTTTAAAGTATAACTGTTGGGGCCTGAATTCAGTGTATGTTGAAGTTTCCTCACTTTTGCAATTAGGTTGGCTTTCTTGATACATTACTTGGGGGTGTGTGTATATATATATATTATTATATCTTTTGTGTATTACATATACAGTCATAAGGCCTAGTGAAGTTTTATATTGTCTTTTGTGCAGACCAGATCAAGTAATAGATACAAGTTTCAAAAAAATTGTTGTTACTAGTTAAGAAAGTGAAGAAAGCTTTTCATTTAATATAAATAGATTGAGTGGGCTGTGCAAAATTCTGCACAGTGATTACTGCCTTAACACTTTACCCTATTGAAGGGAATTCCCAGTGGATTTTTTTTGTATACAGAGCACGTAGCATTCTCATATAACATAAGTATTGTCATCAAATCTTGCTTCCTTTACTTTTTTTTGTTGGTTTTTTTTTTTTTTTTCTTAAGGGATTAGCAAATTTGTATGAGAAACCCAACCAAACAGATGTCAAAGGAGAC